TATCATAAATAAATAAAAAATTAAAAAAAAAAAAAAAAAAAAAAAAAAAGATCCAGGCAATGAGCTTCACAAAAGGTGTAGAAAGATAAGCCCCACCCAGTTCCCAAGTTTGCAGACATGTGAACAACTCATTTCTACACTACAGTAAACGTACACCACACCTCTGTGTCATCATGGGTCACAGAATTACAGCCTCATTGTGGTGTTAATAATGCAGAAAGGTTGCATTTATGAGCATTGACCTTCAAACATCTGAACATACAGTGATCCCGACAGGGAAATTATTTCCACTCTAGCTATCTCCCTGTTCACACGTGTCGGGGTGAAAATAGTAAATTTGGGGAGCTATTCCTCCAAATGTCTCAGTTTTGAATTTGATGCTTGATGGTGGATTACAGTGGTACTCTACCCTGGGGGTGGTACTCTACCCTGGGGGTGGTACTCTACCCTGGGACAGTGGTACTCTCTCCTGGGGGGTGTTTTGGAAATGTCACAAACACTGCTGTTGACTGTATCTTGTATTAAGGAAGAGAGCGGTAGAGAACTGATGCCGGCACACTTGATCTGGGGGCTCCTAGGGGGTCCTGCAGAACTAGCCAAGAGGGCCCTTGGCTTCATGTAGGATAGAAATCAAATGTGAGGCAGCAGAGCTTATTGAAGACCTAGGAAGAACAGATACAGACCGAGGGTGTAGGAGACTCAGAAAGGAAAGGAGCACAAGTCTCATCTTTGGGGTCTGGAGGTTTTTATGGAGGAGTGTGGTCCGGTATACAAGTCCCCTCAGGCATCCAGGAACCTGTTTGCACAAAGACGAGGCCTCAGTTGGAGCCACAGGGTCTTGGCATAGAGCCGTGTAGCTCCAGTGGTCTGGAATACGCGTATGAGGGTGTCGTCCAGTCCTTCTCGTCCAGTCCTTCTCGTCCAGCCCTTCCTTACGTGTTATCGATTCCAAAGAAATCATGAACCCCTCGTGCCTCACAAGGAGGACATCCTGAGGCATGTGTAAAGCGGGTTGGAGGTGCAGGTCCTGGTGAGAACGGAAGCAGGAAAAGGAGCAAAAAGCAGATTTTTATGAAGTCCTTCAGTTTCCCTGTCTCAGAATTATCACCTTATTGAAATGTTACTCAAGATTGCCAGTAGGATTTGGATTAAATATGAATTTCAAGAGTCGTGAACTAGCAATCAGAACTTTCTCAAGGATAACATAAGAGTTCTTAAGCTTTTAAAACCTCAAGTCTGGGACGCCTGGGTGGCTCAGCAATTGAGCGTCTGCCTTTGGCTCAGTGTGTGATCCCGAGGTCCTGGGATCGAGTCCCATATCGGGCTCCCTGCATGGAGCCTGCTTCTGCCTTTGTCTCTGTCTCTGTCTCTCTGTGTCTTTCATGAATAAATAAAATCTTTAAAAAAAAATTAAGCTTCAAGTCCTCAGGACCTAAATGCTGGAATTAACTTGCTATGCGCGTACTTACACTCTCTCATATTGTTCTTGCTCACGAGTTTATTTCAAAGCCACTTGTATGCATCTCTACAATATGTGGTTGTCACTAATGCTGTTCACCAAGTATTTTGAACATCCTACCTTCCGGCCATTGATTGGGATTGCGTTTCTTGGTCCTGTTTGGTTGGGTGAGGCCATAGGACTAGTTCTGGCTGGTGAAATTTTTTCTGGAAATTTTCTTCCTTGCCTCAGGAAGCTGTTCACAGGATGTGTGGACCAGTGCTTCACTGACTCAGCAGGGCCCGCTGCCATCTCCAGAGCGCCTCACCTTAATACTCCATGCTGCCCTAGAGTTGCAACAAAGGTGAGGTTTTTCTTCTTTACAAATCGGAAGTTTTTGTTCTCTGGAATGTTTTTTCTTGATTTGAAGTAAACGTGGTGAAAAGCGAAAACTTGACAAGCCTAGGTATTGGGCGTGGGGGTCTCCCAATTGGATGGGAAGCCACCAAACGTGGGGTGACCAGATGGGTGGAGGCCCGCAGCAGGGGCGGAGAAGGAATCCACCCAAGGCAGAACAAAGGAGATAGTTCACGGAATCTACCACAGGGAGAGGCAGGCGGAAGAGCAAGCCAAGGGACTGTCTGCCAAGAGGCGTTGGTGGGGGCTGTGGTTGGAGGGAGGTGAGGAGGTATGGGAACGTAAAGAACTTCCTTTGTTTGGTACCTGTGTCCAGGTGTAAGTAACTCCTTGGTCAGCTAGGACTTAGGGATATTTTGAGGTGGGTTGTCTGATGGGCCTGCTTCTACGTAGCAGTGGGGGTGTTGAAGGGTCCCTATGGGTCCTTCTACCTGACTCAGGCTTCCATTGTTCAAGATGGTTGCCTAAAATCGGCCTCTGCATTGGACACAGGGTGTTACAGTATCCCCTACTTTTCTGTAAGTCTGATAGTATGAGGAGAAAGAGAAAGGGATTCTCACAGGCTCTCGCCCTGACCCCTGTCTCCCCCAGCACCCTGGACTGGAGCTGTGTCCACAGCCAATCAGCTGGCAACCCCAGTGAGTCTCACAGAGGTGGAGGGCAGGGGAGCCAGTGTTCACACTGTTTCCTGTGGTCTCCACTGGTCCATTTGTTGCATAAAAGATGGACTAAGCTGAAACCTTGGCCTAGACACTCACAAGGTATGTGACTTGAAGGCATTTAATCTCATGCAGAGGATGAGTGCTGGAGTTCACAGCACCCACACCTCGTAGCAATGTCCTACCCAGTAAATAGATGAACTCGGGTTACATACTCAACCCAGAGCCTCTAACATGATGAAGTGCGAATGGGTAGCTTCCACCATGGAGTGATAAAGAATAAGGAAGATCTCTATGAATGGATAGGGAGTGATTTCCAGTGGGGCTCAAACCAACAACCCCAAGATCAAGTCACATGCTCTACTGAGCCAGCTAAACACCCTACTACTTACAGTGTCAGAAAAGTTTGGGCACCTGGCTGCTTGGTCAGTGGGACATGAAACTCTTGATTTCAGGGTTGTGAATTCAAGTCCCACACTGAGCGTAGAGATTACTTAAAAGCAGAATCTTTTTATTTTGATTTTTATTTTTTAAAGATTTTATTTATTTATTCATGAAAGACACAGAGAGAGAGGCAGAGACACAGGCAGAGAGAGACGCAGGCTCCATGCAGGGAGCCTGATGTGAGACTCAATCCCAGGACCCCGGGATCACCCTAAGCTGAAGACAGACGCTCAACCACTGAGCCACCCAGGGGTTCCAATGTTTTTGTTTTAAATTCAATTTAACTATATGAGAAATGGATTAATCATGTAAGAAAAAAAAAACCTAATTAAGGAGCTTTTGAAGATTACTATATATACACACATACACACACACAAACTCTTTGTACTTTGTGTTTATATTGTCAATATGAAGAACTTGGAAAAAATCTTGTGCTCAGGTTCATATCCCAAGTAATCAAAGTTAACACTTAGCAGGACACCAGGTCAACCTATCACTCATGGAACATTCCTGCCCAAAGCGTTTCCTCTGAAATTTCTTGGGGTTATGCAAGCTGTCAAACCCAAACGGAGGGACATTTTATTTATTTATAAAGGTTTTTATTTATTTGAGAAAGAGTGAGAGAGTGAGAGAGAGAGAGCATAAGCGGGGTGCAGGGGCAGAGGGAGAAAGGAGACTCCCTGCCGACATGGGCCTTGATCCCAAGACCCTGGGATCATGACCTGAGCCAAAGGTAGATGTTTAAAATGACTGAACCACTCAGGTGGCTCACATCTTTAAAAAATGGTGTTCAGAACTGGGAGGGCGGGCAGCCCTAGTGGCGCAGCGGTTTAGTGCTGCCTGTGGCCCAGGGTGTGATCCTAGAGACCAGGGATCGAGTCCCAGGTCTGGCTCCCTGCATGGAGCCTGTTTCTCCCTCTGTCTGTGTCTGTGCCCCTCTCTCTGTGTCTCTCATGAATAAATAAATAAAATCTTAAAAAAAAAAAATTTCCTTTCAAAAAAAAAAAAAAACGGGGGGGGGGGAGTAAGACAGTGGAACAATCTAGAAAAAATGAAGTTCTGCTTTATATCAGTAATAGTAATGTTATCTATGTTAAGTTTCTTGAATTTATGCAAAAAAATATCCTTTCCCTAGATTCTTACCGTACTTGTGTAGGAAGAGAAAAAGAAAACAAGGCAAAATAAGAGTGAATCTAGGTCAAAGTCTGTAGTTTACTATACTGAACTTTCTTGAATGACTGAAATACTTAAGTTTTTTTCTTTTAAAGATTTTTATTTATTTATGAGAAAGAGAGAGAGAGAGAGAGAGAGAGAGAGAGAGAGAGAGAGGCAGAGACACAGGCAGCAGGAGAAGCAGGCCCCATGCAGGGAACCTGACTTGGGACTCGATCCTGGGTCTTCAGAATCACATCCTGGGCTGAAGGTGGCACTAAACTGCTGAGCTACCCAGGCTGCCCAAGTTTGTTATTTACTTATTTTATTTACTCATGAGAGAGAGAGAGAGAGAGAGAGAGAGAGAGAGAGAGAGAGAGAGAGAGGCAGAGACACAGGCAGAGGGAGAAGCGGGCTCCATGCAGGGAACCCGACGCAGCACTCGATCCCACGTCTCCAGGATCAGACCCCGGGCTGAAGGCAGCACTAAACCGCTGAGCCACCAGGGCTGCCAAAATGTTTCTTAAAAAAGATGTTATTTACTTAACAGAGAGAGAAAGCATGTGTGCATGCATACATAAGCAGGGGAACAGTGGGCAGAGGGAGAAGCAGACTCCCTGCTGAGCAGGGAGCCTGATGTGGGGCTCGATCCCAGGACCCTGGGATTATGACCTGAGCCAAAGACAGACATGTAACCAACTGAACCACCCAGGCACCCCTTAATTGGTTTTAAAAAAAGAAAAAATAGCACTTTAGTTTTATTATAACAAATTTAGTGTATCTTCCTGTAAAAAAAAAGAAAATCTAAATGCTTGATACTTGAGTATAGAGCTTACGTGTTAGCCTTCAAATTACGAAGCAGATGTTTGGCAACTTGATACAAAGGCACAGAAGCTTATAACCACATTTATTAGAAAAATATCACCAGCTGGAAGTTCCTTTCTTTGGATGCTGAAGATATGCTCTATGGCAACTTTCTGTCTGCTTTCATCAAGCTCCCCTCAATACGGCAGGAATCCCAGTCTCTGGATGCTCAGAGGCCAAGGGATGGTCCCGTTCCACCCGGGACCCCACCCGGCCCACCCCAGGTGTTAGGTAGCAGCACTGCATAATAAGCCAGGCCTACTGTTTCCACCAGACGGCCCTGGAGTCCAACAGCTGGAGAAATGAGGCACCTGAGGCGCCAGCAGCTGCAACGGCAATCCTGTCCGCTCGTGGAGCTTGCAATTCACCTTTTCTTTACAAACTTCTTTCTGGAAGCATTGGGATTTAACCGCCTCCTGCCCGCTCCCAAGGTGTTGTCTCGGATCTGGAGGGTGGCTGATCGGCTGGAGATGTCATTCTCGGCAAAGGGAGACACCCCCGCGATGTAGTCAGGGGCAAACACGTCTGTTTTCTGTCTGGCCTTTCGGGAGAGTCTCAGCTGAGGGAAGCGCTGGTCCTCGGTCAGATGGGGGTTGATGGCGTATTTGCCCCCTTTGGGAGTGGGAAGGGAATACTGCAAACGAGATGAGGAAAGGCCATGAGGATGGGGCACCCTATCCAAACACGCCCAATCCTGTTAACGTCAAGCATCCTGATGGTTCTGGATGCAGGCAGAGAACATCACGGAGTCACTACACACCCTCGGCCGACAACGGAGTTACCTCCAGACATAGAACTCTGGCAAGCAGGTGCCATTTTCAGTGGTGGGGGTCAGTTATTCTGAAACAGGTACTGTAGGACTGAGCAAGTAAGTAATCATGGAAAGTGGTGTAAAGATAAAAGGGAGGGGTAGGATGAACTTTGCTCGGTTGAGATGGAACTTAACTCATTTTAAGACACAGACACGTAATAGAAGATACTCCCGTGCATATTTGTGTATGTTCGCTTACACTTACAAACTCTGTCCGCTGTGGGCTGAGAAATCTCTGACTCCCCAGGGCAATGAGCCCACCCGTGCACCCTGTGCTCAGCTCTTTGCTTCAAAAAACCATTTTCCCTATGGAATGAGAGCTCCAGAGAGAAGTGGCTGATGCCAGGGCAGGGACAGCATTACAAGAGCAGAGAGCCAGAAAGTAAGACCGTGTTCAAGGAACAACCGGGATGTTTAAATGCCAAGCTCTTCCTGGCCCTCTCTGTTCATCTTGATCCTGGTGCTAACAGGTCTTGCTCCCCCACGGCTGCCAGGGGACGGGGAGATCTGCGACTCACCCGGAGGCCCCGAGGGTTGAGCACCTTCGGGTTGCGGGAGAAGTGCATGTGGAGGCTTCCATCATCGCTGACCGTCACAGACACCTTCTTCAGGGTCTTGTTTCCACAATGGGAACAGAACACTCGGCTCATGTCAGATGTTGTCCTGGAGACACAAAAGGCAAAGCTCTGCACTGAGGCCACAGGCGGCAAGCCCTGTCCCCAGAGCACAAGGTGAGTGAGGGTGTCAGAGGAGGAGGACAACAAGAGAATGGGGAAGGCCCAGGAGCCCCCCAACACGCCAGAGACCACGGCCGCTTGGCCTCACGCTGCTGCTACAAGCAAGCTGCCGCCACATGCTCCACGGGAAACAGCACATGAAATGACGCAGGCAGCAAGTCAGCACACGTGGAAACTGAGCAGAATGTGGTTACACTGGTAATGAAGACTTACTGAACTGTTAGGCGTTATTCCACAAGTTTGACATCAAAGCAATCCTATGGAGCTGCCATTATATCCATTCTATAGATGGGGAAACTGAGGCAGGTAAGGTAGCTTGCTCAAGGTCACAGAGCCAGTAATTGGTAAATATAAGCCCAAGGAACCTGGGTTCACAACCAATGCTCTTAACATCACCATACCTAGCCAAGGGGCATTGTTACTCAGTTCCCACATCGTGCGCTGCAATGTCAGCCAGGGTATAGAGCCAGGAGGTGGCTCCAGAAGTGCCCAGGATGTCCTAATGAATCACACAGGAAACACTGACCAGCGGCTCGTTGGGTGGGTGTGGAGGGCTGGCCCTGAGGCCTCCCCTCTCTCCTACCCACTCGAGCCCCAACAGGGGATCTTGGACAGGAAAATCTGCCACTGCCAAGGACTAAGTGCAGGGTTGATACCTGTCCTTGAGGAATTCTCCCTCAATTCCCGGTGGTCAGGAGATGAGCTGTGAATCTCCTGAGGAGCCGAATCCTTTACCGGCAAGTCTCTGAGAGTAAACCAAGTGCCTCTCGACAGACACTAGGAACTAATTATCCTGTGTTAAGAAACTGTCCAGTCACTGGGGCTCATCTCACAAGAATGGAGAACATTTCTAAAAGCCGCTAAGAGTGAGTGTCCATTTGGGGGAACTTGGCGTTTTGTAACAAAGGGCATTGGGGGAAATGGGGTTTCCGGAAGCCAGGCACCTTACAGTCCTAAGCCTGGTGACACTGAAGAGTCATAAGAAGGCAGAGGCAGCTCTGAGGACTGGCTCACTAACTACATCATGGGCAGGCGTACAGAGGCTGGTGCTGGGGCAGGGCCCCCGTGCCATGAGTGACTGGTTGTTTTGAAGCCGACAGGTGAGCAATGGTCCATTTAGGCAACTTTACCCTCAGTGGGAAAGCCCTTAGGGACCTAAGGAGGCACCTTGCTGCTTTAGAACCTTCCATGCGGGCCTCTGCACTGAAAGGTTCCGTAAGATGATTGACATGATGGCCACGAAACCTAGACCGAAGCTACGGAAAGGTTGTAAGCCACCATAGCGTTAAGATCACAGGGCCATGCTCCACCAGCAAGACTGCAGTACAGGGTCTTCTGCTCCGAGTAGGTCTCCAGGACCCTGAGGCCTGCCCGCAGAACACCAGCCCCCACTACAAGAACTAACTCAAGAGCCAGAAGAGAAATGGAAGAGAAGGGCATGATCCGTGAACTAACAGTTCACCTGAGCGGACTGCTTCCTATGTTCCAGATACACACTCCTATAAACTATCAGCTTTTTCGATTTACCCAAGAAAAATCTGAAGCGCTGAGAAGTTCACCAACTCCTGGAAAGCTACTGCGAGACAAAATCTGGATCTGACCCTGTACGATCTGAATCCATCCCATTTAAAAAAAAAAAAAAACAAAAAACCCAGAAAATCTAAACATAAACCAAAGAGCACAATGAACCCCCATGGGCCCCTCACTCCGCTTCAACAACCATCAGTTGATGGCCACCCTGTTCCATCTCTACCCCAACCCACTCTTCCCACCTGAGTATTATCTCAGAGCAAATCCCAGGCATCATTTCATCCATAAACATTTCAGTACATAGGTTAAATGATGGGGGTTCTTTGCTCACAACCCACACCTTTAATCCTAGGACTAAGATAAGATAGGCGATCAGGTGACCTCTGTCCAGAGGTTTTAGCGCTCTGGTGGGGACAGAACCTAGCTGCCTCTGAAAGACAGGGCGGAGGAAAACCCACAAACAAGGTTCTCCTTCAGAAAATTGACAGAAGGGACAGAAAGACAAGAGTTCAACAGAGAGGCAGTGGGTCCAGATGATCAGCTACGTACTTGAAACAGCCGTGGCAGCGCAGGATGTAGCTCCGGGCCTCACGGATCAGCATGCCATTCACTGCCAGCACGTGCAGCCCCATCTGAAGCAGAACATTCTGCAACCAACAAGTTAAAGCACAAATAAAGTCAGCAAGACCAAATTCTCTTTTGACATCTGTATAGTCACTGTTAAAGGGCTTCACAAAGGCTGGTTTGGTTCATAAAGGACTTCTGCTAAGGGAAAGTGAGCTGAAGGTGCCTCTCCAGACAGGTAACAAGGACAAAGACCTAGTTTTCTCTGGTCTTTCAAGGGTCCAGGTCTTCCGCCAGGGCCCCCTCTCGTTTTTAAAAAATTATTTATTTATTCATTTATTCATTCATTCATTCATTCATTCATTCATTCATTCATTCATTCATTCATTCATAACAGATACACACAGAGAGAGAGGCAGAGGGAGAAGCAGATGCCATACAGGAAGCCTGATGCGGGACTCGATCCAGGGTCTTCAGGATCACACCCCGGGCTGAAGGTGGCGCCAAACTGCTGGGCCACCAGGGCTGCCCCAGGGCCCCCTCTCTTAACAAAGACATTTATCGGGGATCCCTGGGTGGCGCAGCAGTTTAGCGCCTGCCTTTGGCCCAGGGCGCGATCCTGGAGACCTGGGATCCCGGGATCGAATCCCACGTCGGGCTCTCGGTGCATGGAGCCTGCTTCTCCCTCTGCCTGTGTCTCTGCCTCTCTCTCTCTCTGCGTGACTATCATTAAAAAACAAAAACAAAAACAAAACAAAAAAAAAAACAAAGACATTTATCTTGTCAAAGGCAAATACACTCTTTTCAGAGCTGGAAACCTCTACTTTTTCTAAGTTCCTAAGCATGGAAGGTACTGAAAACCATCCAGAGACCATGAATAGTAAACATTAAAAACTTAACACATGGGATCCCTGGGTGGCGCAGCGGTTTGGCGCCTGCCTTTGGCCCAGGGCACGATCCTGGAGACCCGGGATCGAATCCCACGTCGGGCTCCCGGTGCATGGAGCCTGCTTCTCCCTCTGCCTGTGTCTCTGCCTCTCTCTCTCTCTCTCTCTCTCTGTGACTATCATAAATAAATAAAAAATTAAAAAATTAAAAAAAAAAAAAAACTTAACACATGATATTTTGTCACTACCTTGATTCTCTACTTTCCAACCTAAACTACAAATAATTAAAGAGCACAGGTAAAATTTCTAGAACCAAGAATAGTAGTATCACAAGGTAGAGCTGTACATATCCCCAAACCTCAGAGGGATCCCTGCCCACGAGAAGTTATAAAATAGAGCCTAGGGCCAGCCAATGCCCATCCACCCACCTGCATGGCAAAGTCTGTAGTCACACAGCCAACCCGCACACCCTTCGGGACGGCACACTGCTCCAACTCCCGCTGGATCTGCTTGATGTTGCTGGGTGTTATCCATCCACCCCCGTCATCATCACTATTCTCGTCTTTACTTTCTTCAAATCCATTCTCTCCTTCCTCATCTTCCTCACTTGGAACATCATCACCTTTGTCAAGCTGAAACAACAGAATTCTCAAATTCCTAGCCCCACAGGAACAGCAGGAAGACACTGGCGTGTTGTCATCAGGAGATCATAAATCAAGGCCTTACCAGCAGCTCCTGCAGTTCACGATCAATATTAGGCAAAGGGTTTCTCCAGAACATGAAGGAACTGAATTCTAGGTTCTCAGGCTCAGCAGCTGGATGTCCACATTGTACTGTTTCTTGTGGGGGTTTAGGCTGAGGTTAAAAGAATAATAATTTTATTCTTCTGATTGAAAGCATTACAGATGCAATGATAGATAAATTGGATCAGACAGGGCTGGACTAACTAGAAATTAGCCTGGATAAATATAGCTCACTGTAAAGAATTTGTGGAGATGGGACATGTAGCAGAAGAGGGCATGAGAGCATGGCCTGTCTAAGGAATTACCTTTGAAGGCAGATGGAAACCAGAAATGTATAGAGGAGTTTCTGGGTGCTGACTGGATGAGCTCACTTTGACCTTTAAAAAGAAAAGAAAAAAGTGCCAACCCTAAGCAGAAAAATACAGTTTGAAAATTCAGCATGGAAGAGTAAGTAAAATAAACAGAAAACAAAACACTTTCCCAACGGTTACTGAAAATTGGGAAACAAAAATAATTATTCAGTGATCCCACTAGTGCCAAATAAGCACTTTAAAACATTTTTTTTGTCTTCATAAATAAAGCTGTGATGAACACATTATTATTATTATTTTTTTTAAGATTTTTTATTCATGAGAGACACACACACACACAGAGGCAGAGACATAGGCAGAGGGAGAAGCAGGCTTCATGCAAGGAGCCCGACGTGGGACTTGATCCCGGGTCTCCAGGATCACACCCTGGGCTGAAGGCGGCGCTAAACTGCTGAGCCACCCAGGCTGCCCCTTTATTTCTAAACTTGCATATATCCTTGTATATATTGGGTTCTTCTTCCACCTAAGTTATATACTTAGGATCAATGCCTAAGAGTAGAACTGCTGGATCAAAAGATACTGTATTATTCTTTAAAGATAGATGTTTTAGGGATCCCTGGGTGGTGCAGAGGTTTGGCGCCTGCCTTTGGCCCAGGGAGCGATCCTGGAGACCCGGGATCGAATCCCATGTCGGGCTCCCGGTGCATGGAGCCTGCTTCTCCCTCTGCCTGTGTCTCTGCCTCTCTCTCTCTGTGTGTGACTATCATAAATAAATAAAAATTAAAAAAAAAAAATCAAAGCCTTATTTAAAAAAAAAAAAGATAGATGTTTTAAAGCTTCTGATACAAAATATCTAACTCCTGGGGCACCTGGCTGGCTCAGTGAGTAAAGCATGAGACTCTTATCTCAGGGTGTGAGTTTAAGCCCCACAAAGAACTTACTTTAAAAAAAAAAAAGGGGGGGGGGACACCTGGGTGGCTCAGTGGTTGAGTGTCTGCCTTGGGCTTAGGGCATGATCCCGGGATCCAAGATCAAGTCCTGCTTCAGGCTCCCTGTGGGAAGCCTGCTTCTCCCTCTGCCTGTGTCTCTGCCTCTGTGTGTCTCTCATGAATAAATGAAGGAAAGAAAGGAAAGAAAGGAAAGAAAGGAAAGGAAGGAAAGGAAGGAAAGGAAGAAAGGAAGAAAGGAAGAAAGGAAGAAAGGAAGAAAGGAAGAAAGGAAGAAAGGAAGAAAGAAAGAAAGAAAGAAAGAAAGAAAGAAAGAAAGAGTGAGTCTGAGTTCAAAATACTCAGGGCTGGAGTCAGTAGAAATGAAACCCGACAGATCACGACATAAGTGTGGAGACACAGTAATGGGAACACGGGGTCCATCATACTATTTATTCCCTCCACTTCTGTGTATCTGATAGTTTCTGAAATAAAGTCGGAAGAAAACCAATAATCCTCCTGACTTACCTTTTCTGGTTCTCGTTTTAGGTGTGACACCCCAACAAACTCTGCTTCTAACTGATAGGTGAGTGCCAGCACTTGGATATCTGTGGCAGAAAGGCTGGGATAATCTCCAGTTTTCTTTGAAAACTCAGTCACTGTAAAGAGGGTCCCAAATCGCATTAGAAACAAGACGACTTATAACCGTAGATAACCAAAGAGTCTGAAAAGAACTCAGGATCAATATCCCAGAAATCCTCTTAATACTTTCGTCCATGTCCTTATGCTTTTCTACTCACTGTTGAGACATTTGTATTCTCTATCATTAAAATTCACTCTAGTTAGGTTGACTATGATATCTTTATCTAGTGCAGATTACTAGAAAGTCACTGAAAGGGACACCTGGGTGGCTGAGTGGTTGTGTGCTTGCCTTTGGTTAGACATGATCCTGGAGTCCCCGGATCGAGTCCCACGTCCGGCTCCCTGCATGGAGCCTGCTTCTCCCTCTGCCTGTGTCTCTGCCTCTCTCTCTGTGTCTCATGAATAAATGTATTAAGTTTTTTAAAAATTGTATTTATCTTTAAAAAGAAAAGTCACTGAGAGCATGTTTGCAAATGATGAGTTCATGAATTCCTCATTATGTCGGAATAGAAGGTCTCTTCTCAGCTCTAAAATTATTTGATTCTTAGAATAACCACCTGGATTAATAGGATATTCAGATTCCAAAGTAGGATGAAAAATTCAGTCAATAACTTGTAGTCTACGATGAAACAAAATTACCGGACGGCTCTGCAACGACCCTGCTTTGTAACAGTAGCGCTCGCCTTTCCTAAAAAGCGGCTCTAGACAGGGCTAGTGTGTAGGGCGCTCACCGTGCACCAGCAGCTCTGGCGCTAACAGCCTTTTCCATTTCATCCTCCAACCAAATCCCAGCCAACACCGTCAGCTCTTCCTCGGGAGGGTGAAGTGACCTGCCTGCGGTCAGTAACCGGCCAGGCCCGGCGGGTTCCTGACCCGGGGAGTCCCTGGCCCCGCGACCTCCCGGAGGCAACGCGCCCCGAGGGGGTGGCCTGGGGCGCCGCTTCGCCGCCAGCCCCGGGGCAGGGGCACTCACCCAGGCGCACGTATTCTGGGCAGGGCTCCTTGAAACGCAGCTCGTAGGGCAGGACGGCGAGCCGCCGCCGAGTGGCCTTGTCCCGAATCTCGCTCACCACATCCCGGACGGTGTAGATGTTCTTCCCGATGTCCTGCGGGGACGCCCGCCCAGCTCACGCGCGTGCACGCCACGCAGTGCGCCGCCCGACCTCCCGCCCTACGTCAGGGGCCGCCAGCCCAGACGCTGCCCCTCTCGGCGGTGGCTCTCCGTACCTGCAGAGCCGCATCTCGCAGAAACGCCCCGGCATCGGCCACAACGTGCTCCACCGCCGCCATCTTGGCCGGACGCGCGCTCAGGGCGCCTGCGCACCGGGCTGGCCCCGCCCCTCACATCCGGGCCTCTGGGAGCCGCGACGTCCCGCTGTGACTTAGCGGCGCCTCCTGGCGGCCGGATGGGCATCTCCCGGCTCAAGGCTACCTGCGCGCCGGCGCCGCGTCGCCCGCCGCCCAGCCAGGTGTGGGCGGGGCCAAACTCTGGGCGACCCCTGAGGGGCGGGGCCTCGGCGTCCCTCCCTGAGCGCCTCCTTCACCTTCGAATGCGAAACCTGTAGAAGTCTTGTTACAGCTCAGGCAATAGAGAGAAACTGCGGAGCCTTTAAAGATCCCAAGTTATGAGACGGGCCGTGTTTTACGGGGAAGGGAAGCCACTCGGGACAGCTGGGTCCACCAACATGCGCGGCACTTGGGTTAAGGTCAGCCCTGGGGCGACCCTCGGGTCGTGGTGCGGCCTACTTAGAAAACGAGACCGACAAACCGACCCCCAGCCACTTTCTCATCCACTGTGCTCTGTTGACCTCTTCATTTTGAGGGTCTTTGACGTCCTCACCCACTTTCCTAAGCAAGGCACATCATTTGCGAGCAAATGATTCTTTGCTGGATGGAACTGAAAGGGCGTTTTATTTTTAAGGATTTTATTTATTTATTCGTGAGAGACGCAGAGAGAGGGGCAGAGACACAGGCCGAGGGGGAAGCAGGCTCCACGCAGGGAGCCCGACGTGGGGCTCGATCCCGGGTCTCCAGGGTCATGCCTTGGGCTCAAGGCAGGCGCTAAACCCCTGAGCCTCCGGGGCTGCCCTGAAAGAATTTTAGACGATTTCTCAATTCCTTTTCGACTCTGAGATTCTATAATTAGGAGATCTGGCCTGTTAAAATTCATGCTGGAGGATTTCAGCAGAATGATGACGTGGGTTTTCTGTCATTCATCTTCAGCGACGCCGAGTTATTCCAAGTCCCCGATCTTATCCCTCGAGTATAATGTATCCATCCTGCCCCCGAAAGCCCTTCAGTGCCCTAGGCATCCCCTTCCGCAGTTGCCCAAGTTCCTTCTTTCCCCAGACATCTGTCTCAACTTTTCTTAACGTTTTTTCTCTTTCATCTCCAGGGCCAGTGGCTCCTGTCCTACCTGCCCTGCCTGAAATAGCACGGTGGAAGGCTGTTTTCTAATTATTTTTTCAGCTTTCTATTTCTCTGCCTAATTTGATATTGCTGACCACCTCCTCTTTCTGGGCTGTCTCTCCTCCCCTGACTTTGGTGATATTTAAGAATCTGGTCCCCCTGCCTCTCTGCTGGCTTCTCGTGCTCCCTCACTGGATTCTGTTCTGCCTTGCACACAGCGCACCTCTGCCTTGCCTTCTTTGTCCTTTAAGTGCTCTCCTTTAGCAATATTATCTATCCTCAAAGCTTCATTTATTACATTAAAGGAATGCCTCCCAAATCTTTAGGTCCTGTCTCTATTTATTCCCCCAATCTAGCCTTCTGGAAACATCCATCTAAAAATTTTAGGCATCTTCACTTGTCAATTAAGATTGATGTAATTATCTCTTAACTTTTTTTAGTCATTAGAGTTATTTTTTTTACTAATGGCATTTCCAACAAAGGCACTCAAGGTAAGAATCTCTGAGTCATCTTAATTCCTACGTTCTTTTTTTTTTTTTTAAAAAAAAGATTTTATTTGAGAAAGAGAAAAAGAGCATGAGTGGGGGTGAGGGGCAGAGGAAGAAGGAAAGAGAGAATCCCAAACAGACTCCCCACTGATTGTGGAGCCTTACACCAGGCTCAATCCCAGGACACTCCGTCCCACCACCTGAGCAGAAATCAAGAGTTGGAATGCTTGACTGAGCCACTCAGGCACCCCGTCCTCACCCACGCCTTCTTTTTTAACCCATACTCCCCTTGATGCCACTTCTGAAATATTTGAGATGTCTGTGGCTCCTCTACATTTATTCCCTTTACTCTAGATAAGTTAAGTTTTAATCTCATGCCTAAAAAATATAATACACTCAACACTAGTGTTCTTGTCTCTCCTTTAATTGATTTCTCCTGTTGCCTAAAAAGGGAGGGAGGATGTGGGAACTGAACTCCATAATAGAAGAGGTTTATTAAAGTTGATAGTAATAGGTCTGTAAACCCTAGGAAGAATGATCTATATCAGTGGTTCTCAAACTTGAGCGGGCATCAGAATCACCCAGAGATCTTGTAAAAACAGATGGATAGGGATGGCTGGCTCAGTCTGTGGAGCATGCAACTCTTCATCTTAGGATCCTGAGTTTGAGCCCCACATTGAGTGTAGAGGTTACTTAGAAATAAAATCTTTAAAAAAACCCCACAGAAATGGATGTCTAGGCCTCATTTTCAGATTCTGATATGTAAGGGCACCTGGGTGGCTCCTTTGGCTCGGGTCGTGATCCCACAGTCCTGGAATTTTTTTTTTTAAAGATTTTATTTATTTATTCATGAGAGACACAGAGAGAGGCAGAGACACAGGCAGAGGGAGGCTCCCTGCAAGGAGCCTGATGTGGGACTCAATCCCTGGACCCTGGGATCATGACCTGAGCCAAAGGCAGACGCTCAATCACTGAACTACCCAGGCGCCCCAATAAATAAATCTTTTTTAAAAAAGATTCTGATTTGTAGATATGGACAGTGCCTGAGAATTTTTTTTTAAGATTTTATTTATTTATTCATGAGAGGCAGAGACACAGGCAGAGGGAGAAGCAGGCTCCATGCAGGGAGCCCCACGTGGGACCTATCCCAGGACTCCGGGATCACGCCCTGGGCTGAAGGCAGGGGCTAAGCCACTGAGCCAACCAGGGATCCCAGAATTTGCATTTCTAACAAGTTTTTGGTGATGCTGCTGCTGCTGACCTGAGGACATACTTGAGAACCACAGATTTAGGTGAATAGTCAGGAAAAGAAAGATTGGGCTTTAGGCCATTCATTTTTCCGTAAACATTGAGAATATTTATTAATATAGAAGGTATCTTGACACCTTGTATCTGTCATTTTTAATGTTATTTTTTTTTGTTTGTTTGTTTTAATATTTATTTATGATAGTCACAGAGAGAAAGAGAGAGAGAGGCAGAGACACAGGCAGAGGGAGAAGCAGGCCCCATGCACCGGGAGCCTGATGTGGGATTCGATCCCGGGTCTCCAGGATCGCGCCCTGGGCCAAAGGCAGGCGCCAAACCGCTGCGCCACCCAGGGATCCCTTTAATGTTATTTTAATCCCTTTTCTGTTTTCCTGTAACAGGAGTCTCCAAGTCCCCTAAAGACTTAGAAGGAAACTAATTTCAACAAATATGTATTGAAAGCTAATTTATATCACCATGGGTTGGGTGATGTAATAAAATGATATTTAATGTAGCGTGAAAGGGCACCCTCAGAGTTTGTGACATGGGAGCCAGTTCTTTGAGGACAAGTAGGGCAAAGGCACTGAGTTATGGAAGTCCAAGTGGTGTTCAGGAAATTGAAGGTATGTGTGTAGTGTGTGTGGTAGCTGAGGATACCTGAAGACAGGATCTCTCAGAGGTGAGTGAAGTGAGCCTTGAAACAGTTCAATTTTTTGAAGTTTATGGTTTTTCATAAGGTAAAGAGATCTAAAACACGGTTACAAAAATTACGGTCACTTTACACAGTTTACATGAATAAATCAACACTTAGGAACACAGGTAGAATGATTCAACATTTAACTCATTTGGAGATAACGTCAACTTTTACATGTAAACCCTTTATGAAAGAGAAGGGTCTTGTGTGCCAGTAAAGATTTGAGTTCATTTCCAGGCCTGGAACATGTGGAGGCTACAAAACTTTTCACTTAACAGTGGGCTAGGGAAGAGAAAAACTTGATGAAGAAGAAATACCATGTGAAATCAATGTATCCCTAGAATTCCTTTGAACATTCTTGGGAGTGTCCCATATTTTTCATCTCTGTCCTTGCCTGTTTTTTCTTCTTCCAGAAAATTGTCCTGGCCAATCACTACTTAGTCTCCAAGAAGATCAGTGGATCCTCTGTAAACCAGTCTCTGATAACTCAAATCAGATTTTCCTCCAAGGACAGATTTGAACTTTTCTTTCTCATCACTTTTAAGACGTTTTTAGTTTTGTTGTTCAGTGAGCAGTTATTATTTCTTCTTTGCATTGTAATTAATTGTGTGTCTTCTTTTTTTTAAATTTTTTTAAATTTATTTATGATAGTCACAGAGAGAGAGAGAGGCAGAGACACAGGCAGAGGGAGAAGCAGGCTCCATGCACCGGAAGCCCGATGTGGGATTCGATCCCGGGATCCCAGGTCTCCAGGATCGCGCCCTGGGCCAAAGGCAGGCGCCAAACCGCTGCGCCACCCAGGGATCCCAATTGTGTGTCTTCTTTAAGTAGTTTGGAAATCAGGGACTGTTGTTTTAGGGGTCTTTTTCTTCAAATGATCATTTCAGTCTGCTTTTTAACTTTTGGAGGACATTTTAATGAAAATATACTTCAAATTCTTTGGTATGTCTTTTAAAAAAATTCTTCCAAGCTGTAGGATCTACAGCAATGTGTTCAATGCTCAATAAATGTTGATGAAATCTATTCATTTAACAGTTTACTTAAAGAGACCTCCTGTGGGCCAGACACTGCTTTAGGAGCTGGGATATGACTCCTATCTTCCTAATTCTTGTAGTGGGAAAC